GAAAAATTAAGAGAAACGTATAGCGTTCCCATGTACCCCCTGCCTCCACACATGCACAGCCCCCCCTACTATCAACATCATTTTTTTAAGGATGAGCCTACACTGATGCATCATCATCACCCAAAGTCCATAGTTTACATTAGGGTCACTCTTGGCATTGTGCATTCTATGTGTTTGGACAAATGTATAATAACATGTATCCACCATTACAGTATCACACAGAGTAGTTTCACTGCCCCAAAAGTGCTGTGCTCCACTTATTCATCCCTCCTTCCTCCCTAATCCCTGGCATCCACTAATCTTTTTACTATCTCCATAGTTTCACCTTTTCCAGAAGGTCTTAGAGTTGGAATCATACAGTATGGAACCTTTTTTAATTAACTTCTGTCACTTTGATGGATCATTTCTTTTTGCACTAAATAATATTTCATCATCTGGATGGACCACAGTTTGTTTACTTACCTACTGAAAGGCATCTTGGCTGCGTTCACGTTTTGGTGATTATGAATAAAGCTGTTATAAACCTCATTGTGCAGGTTTTTAATTTTTTAAATTCTCACCCAAGGACATGCTTAGATAAAGAGAAATATTCATTGGTTGCCTTCTGGGGAGGAAGGGGGAGGAACCAGTAACCCAGTGTTGTGCCCTGACCGGGAATTGCTTGGATATCTGTGTCTGTGTTCCCATTCATGTATGGGACAGACATTTTTTTAAAAAGTTGCCCCTTTCCCCTGTCTTTGGATGGGTGGTGAGGTGAGGGTTTATTTTGTTCTTTTATTTGGTGTCTCACTGCACTGTTTTAGACATAAGATGGTTCATGGGCGCAAATGATGACACTTTGTGTCTAATTAGCAACTTGGATGGCTCACAGCCTGCCACAGCTTGTTCTTTCTCTGATTCTCTCACTGGGGAAGAGGTGGGTACTAGCATGGTTTAACTGTTTCAGTCTGGCTAGCTGGCACCAAATCATGGAAATGAGGTTGCTTTTTGCTCTTGTTATGGCAGCATCAGGGAGCCCCAGGGGTAAGGGTTATGAAATGGTCAGCAGAGGGAACTGGGCAGAGAGAGGTCATGGAGAAAAATCACTTCCACCATCCATTCTCTGCCTCTAGACCTAGCTAAAGAATTCTCTATGAGCACCTCCACCAGGCAGTACTTACTGCACAAGCAGCACTTTCTCTGTGCTTTCCTGCCAAACAGCCCAACAGTTCTGGGTGAGATGGACTGAATCATTGTGGTCTTCCCCTTCAGGACTCTGCTCAGCACTCTAGGGTTGGACAGTGTCCACCACCAGTTCCCCGGAGAAGCTTGTCTTTGTCAAGTAGGGAAAAAAAGTTCCTAACTGGCTGTATTTCTTGGCCTTTGACCTAGTTCCTTAACCCCTCTAATCTCTAAACTTCCCTTTACTCACTTAAAACATCACCCGATTATCTAGCCATAGTGCTAGATAATCATAAAATCTGCCCTAGTACTTGGAGCTGTCCTGTCTTAAAAAATATCTTTGTATTAGAGAAATTTTTACACTCTAGGCATTGCAGCCTTTTCTGAAGGAGTGAGTTGCTGATCAGCAGCTTGGAGACCAGAAAATTGATAAAATGCCCTAGACAATTTAGTGAAGATGGGACCATTAGCAGAACTAGGGGAAGTGCTACATGGATGTTTAAACCATAACTCCGAACCAGTACACTGAGTTGCAGTTGGGTTGTTTATATTTATTATTTATTTATTTTTAAAATCCTCACCTGAGGATATGTTTTACTGATTTTAGAGAGAGGGGAAGGGGAAGAGAGAGAGAGAGATGGATGTATGAGGGAAACATCCATTGTTTGCCTCCTGTATGCACCAACCATGCCCCTACAGGGGATGGAACCCAAAACCTAGGTATGCGTCCTGACCAGGAATGGAACCGGCCACTTTTTGGTGCTCAGGTTGTCGCTCCAACCAACTGAGCCAAACCTGCCAGGGCTGGGTTGTTTATAAACGGTTTTGCAGTGAAATGATTTTATCTTCCATGGGGCACTACCCTAATTTACTTGAGGGCTGCAAGCATGGCACCAATTCAGGCTGCTCCCTTTATTTTAAAGTATTTTAAGGTGTGAATTCATCCTTGCCCCCCACGCATTCCTAGTTGTTTGCACTTAGGTATCAGAAGGGTGTGTGTGTGTGTGGGGGGGTGTCAAGTGAACTTCCGTTTGCCGGGTGCTGATCAGGTGCAGGAAGTGATGAGGCTGGACCACCTTTGCGCCGCAGCAGTGGCCACCTAAGGCGTTACTGACACACCCCTGGGAAAGTGCGGGGGTCTGCACCGCGAGCGCGAAGGCCTACGCTGGGATCTCCAAGTTACGTCTGCTGCCTGGTGCCCTCAGAGCTGGACCCTGGGCAGACACGTTATTAGGTCAGGAGATTAAAGATGTGCTCTCACCCCCTAAGCTGAACCCCACCCCCCACAGTTGTTTGCAAGCTTAGAGGGCGGAAGAATGCCGCCTCGTCCCCTTGCCCTGTTTGTGACAAGTGCATGTAAAAGAACTCCAGTGGGAAGGTAGCAGGCATGCAGGCACACTGGTTCTTCCCGGGGAGGCAAATGTGCAGGCATCTAGGGGTGCAGCCGCGGTCACACGCACAGCCGGCCGGGCCCCTGACTTCAGCGAAACCCCGGCAGCAACTTTTCTCGGAGGCGTGGGCGCTCGCTAGCGAATGCTTTTCTCTTTGGATCAGCGCGCTTTTATTTCAAGAGCGGAGTGGGACTCGCCCTGGGGTGCTATAGGGTGTCATCTCTGGCATCAGCTCCCATTGCAGAAAAACAAGTCCAATGCAATGCGCTCGGGTTTCTAAACAGTTGCCGAGCGCCGAAACTCTGCAGTCAGCAAAGCTTTTGGA